AAAAAAAAAAAAAAAAAAAAAAAAAAACCTAACCAAAGCAAGTTCCTAGGCCAATAAACTCTTAATGGACTCAAATATTCTAAATACGCTCAAATACTCTTACTTCTCAAAAGTTTCACTTTTTTTACACTAATCTCAACCAAGTTCTCATTTTTAAAAATAAGTTGGGGGACAGATCTTCCAGAAAGGTCAGCTCCAGTCTTGCCCAAAACTGGTAGAGAAAGTGTAACAATCAAATGAGGAAGTTTCAGAGAAAGCTCTGTCTAAGTTTAAGTCTGGACAAAGCACAGCATAACTCAACACTAGTTTAGTCCAGGAATTTAGCGTGATGATAAAGCCGTGGTCTTCCTATATCAGGTCTGGAAAAATGGAAAGTTCAATAGTGTTTGATAACTGTCTGCTGAGCTAACTAGTTTTGTTGCAGATTTATAAAAAATATGTGTAATTCAATTGCAACTGCTATTTTAATTTACTAATATGATATTTATACAGAAGACTGTATAGTACCTGATTCTACCACTTCCTATTTTTTCTGTAAATGGAAATCATAACAATATACAGCAACACAACCCCTGAGGGTGCTGTTCTTATCATAATCCTTGTATTGATCAGCCATAGACAGCAATTCCGATGATACGCACCTCACTTAAAAGGTTGACTGCACTACAGCGTAACAATCATCAAGTATTTAGTCCATTGTAAGGACTCGATAATGTCAGATTTTTCAGTCTCATAACTAAAAAATTCATTGTTAAAATTAATCAATAGACCTGGCAAAAGCAGGAAAAACAACTATGTATCACTTTATGAACTTATTACATGGTATTCAAAAATTTCTTATAAACAAACATCAAAATATAAAATTCGTAGTGATAGACACTGAAAATGAAAGATGTATGGGTAAACCTGAAAAGGAGAACTAAAATTATCTAAAAGAAATTTGCCAAAATTTTGATTGAACAACACTTCAGGATCATGCTCGTCTTAAGCATTTTAATATGGAACTTAAACCCTGAAATTACAAATTATATCTGGATGGAAATTCACATTTACATTTGCAGCAGAAGATGCTGCATTAGAGAAATTTTTATCTACATATGAAAAGAAAGTCAAATACTAGAAATTGTTAAGTACTATTAAAAGAAATTATTCACTATCACTGACCTTGTTTAGCAAAAGTGAAATAAGATTTAGAAACAGCTTTTTAACATAAAATTGGTAGATTTTTTAAAGAGATACTTTTAAATGTACTTAACAGAAATTTTCAGAATTATTTCTACACAAGTTAACATTAAGTTTTATTCACTCTATTGGTATAATTTGTTCAGTTCCCCAAGTCATTATGAAATTTTATTATTTCCTGTTCTGTCTCTATAGATGCCCTTACTTTGTCATCCGTTTGGTATTCAGCATATAATTTATTGTTTTCTCTTCTGTCTAGTATATTAATAGTATTGCTTTAAAAAAAAAAAAAAAAAAAAAAACCTCTGTGTGACTTCTGATCCCAACATATGGTTTCTGTAGTTGTCACTCATATTTAGGCCAGCACATCTGTATACTCACCCCTTAAGGGAAAACAGCACTGAAGAGAGTAGCAACTCACTCACTTCTGTGAGAGTCATCTTGTATATGCAAATCCTCTGACTACAATGCCTAACACGTGGCACAGCAAAGGAACAAACTGCCATGAAGTTGTTGTGCTCCTGTGCTATCACCATAGCTGTTGTTTATTCAGGAGTTACAATGAATCAGAAGCACTTTACATTCATGCGCATTCATTTGATCTCAAATCAATACAACCCAAGTACCATTCCTTATTCTACATGTGAAGGAACTGAGGCTGAGAGAGACTCAGGAATTTGTCTAAGGGCTACCCAGAAACTAGAGAAGGGCCAAGATTTTAATCCAAACATGAACTCCAGAACAATACCCTTGACACTGGAATATCACTCATATTCAAAGTCCAAGCTATACTCTTGAAATAGCATGTCTTATTTCATTCAAACAGGCAGAGAAGTATGAGGGATGTCAATCCCTGTCCAGCCTGTGAGGCTGGCGTTCTGTCTCCTGTGTTATGACACAAGTGCTGTCAGAGTGCAGCATTTTAAACACACCAATGTTTCCAGAAAAAGAGGCAGATATACCCTTTTTCTACTAACATACTTTTTTAAAAAAATGCTTTTTAATACAACAGAATGAAATACATGTGAATTTATTTGATTAAAACATAAACTATCATCAAAGATAGGTCACAACTCCCTTGTTTGGTACTTTGTTAATGAACTCTGACTCAAATACTCATTTTGCAACTTCTACTTCTTTGTCTCACTTGTTAAATATGAGGTATGCCATTTGCTAAATGCAGAGCTCCTTAGGGAAATTTACTCTGTCCAAACTCAGCTAAGCCTTCACCCGTTGGTTCTCTCTGAGGCAAAAGACGGGTACTGGGGGAGATCCCATCACATTACCTGCAAGGTGGGATACGCTCGCCTGTATTCACATCACACTTTGGTACCAAAATGGTGCAAGCAAAGAACATGAGGTATTTATAACAGTTGGTTTGAACAAGTGCAGGGAAAAGAGAAGACTCCCAGCTGATGGATGCTTCCTTTTGAGTCCCGTGGCCAAGGTAATTTGGATAACTTGTGTGGTTGTAGGGCAAATTCATGCAGAGTTCCAAGGTAATTGGTTCACATTGACCTAATGAAGAAAGATACATACAAATATTTTTCTATTTCACTTATAAAAACAACTTCTTTAAGTTTTACAAACTTGAAGTCTATTTTATTCTTTCTTTAGGGTAGCTAAGACTAGAATGTCAGTAGTATATAACATTCTTTATGGATATCGGAAATAAATAAGCTAGTTAGTGAAATGCCCTGGCAATGAAGATTTACTTATGTCTATGTAGTTGCTAGCATCATGCTTTAGAAAGTCCTTCCTCATTTTTTCCTTTGGCTCAACTTATCTGAAGATGATTCTCTCATCATTCCTTTTATTGACTCCAATTCATCTTCTTCTTCTGATTTACTCATTACTACTAAAATAGGATAGCCCCACCATCTTCACTGCCACTAAAAAAGTTAATTAATTTTATTAAATAGGCAATTAGATAACTTCTATCAAAATATATTTTATTGTTGATCAATGTATTTAAATATAAAGCTCCAAGATTTCAGGGCAAGAAGAGGCTCAGATCTGTTGGATACTTCTTGCTAATGAGACAAAGTCCAAACCCCTTAGCTTGAAATCTGAGGATCTTTTAAACTTCAACCCTAACCTAACTTTCCAGCTTCATTGTCTGTGATTATCCAATCAGTTACTCTGCTGTAATGAATTCTATTCCCTTGTGACACCAGATATTTTAAGAATTGCACGTCCTTATGCACACTGTTTACTCCTCTCTTACCTCCTTTTTTATGACAAGCTCATAATTATCTCCCCAGATGTTGTCATGGTCTAGCTGCCAGGGGCATACAGCACCAGCTGCCTGGTGTGCCTTTCCCATCTTCCCCACCAAGCTAACTCCTCTGTGTTTTGGAAGACTCAGTACAAATACCTCTTCCAGGAAACCTTCCTGGCCAACCACTCTTGCCATTACTACTCCCAGAATGAGTCTCTTGTGAGTGCCATAGCATCTTAGGCACATACCCGCCACATGCTCATTGTATTTTGCCGTAGTCTTTATTTACTTGCCTCTCACACAGAATCCCGAGATTTTTGTGAAATGAGACTTTATCTCTTGATCTCAAGTCTGTACCTAGCACAGTACCAGAATGGAGAAAGGAAAATGTATCAGGGACTATTCTAGGCACTGTAAATGTAAGAATAATGAAAAATGTAGTTTCTGCCATTGAGGAACTCCACAATCTTGGTAGAAAAAAGGATGCACATGATGGTAGCTGTAGGAGAATGTGAACAGACTAGGATAGTTTGCTTAAACTGAACGTTTTTGTATCCCCCAGTCATATGCTGTAACTAACCCGCAATGTGATGGTATTTGAAGGTGGGGCCTTTGGGAGGTGATGAGGTTTAGATGAGGTCTAGATGAGGGTGGAGTTTATATGGGATTAAGTCCTTATAAAAAGGGGAATAGACTAAAGCTTTCGCTCTCTCACTCATGTGAAGCAACAGCAAGAGGGCAACTGTCTGCAAACCAGGAAGCAGCTTGTTAGCAGAGACGAGTCTGCCAGCACCCTGATCCTGCACTTCCAGCCTTCAGAACGGTGAGAAATAAATGTCTGTGGTTTAAGCCACCCAGCCCATGGTATTTTATTGTAGCAGCCTGAATATACTAAGACAGCCGTATTGAACAAAATGCTAGAAGCCCAAAGGGAAAAAGTAGAGCAAGAGCGACCTGGGAAGTCTTCTGATACGGTTTGGCTGTGTCCCACCCAAATCTCATCTTGAATTGTAGCTCCCATATTCCCCACGTGTAGGAACCCAGTGGGAGATCACTGAATCATGGGAGCAGTTTCCCCCATACTCTTCTCATGGTAGTAAGCCTCTCACGAAATCTTGATGGTTTTATAAGGGGTTTCCCCTTTCACTTGGCTCTCTCATTCTTCTCTTGTCCACCGCCACGGGAGCAGTGCCTTTCACCTTGTGATTGTAAGGTCTCCCCAGCCATGTGGAACTGTAAGTCCATTTTACCTCTTTCTTTTGTAAATTGCCTACCCTCAGCATCGTGAAAACAGACTAACACTCCCTCCAGGGATAAATGGGGTTTGGGCAGCTTTGGGGGAATACAGCGGACAGGCTTCCATCTCTCTCTCTCTCTCTCTCTCTCTCTCTCTCTCTCTCTCTCTCTGTCTGTCTCTGTTTGAAGTAGATGTGCCACATTCCCTGAGGGAAGAGGCAAGCAAGCAAGCATCCTGGTAAAATTCACCCAGGCAGACCAAAGACCCCATGCCTTATTGAGAGTAATTATTCAAATTAAATTTAATTATTTGACTAAGAAGTGGTATCCATGCAAATAGATTCACGATAAGGATTGGGCTGAAATATTAAAACATCTCTAGGACTACTTCTTAATTTAAAGAATCCGAGGGTTTCACAGGCATTATATTTATAAGGAGGCTGACGCTGGCCTGATAAAAAAAAAAAATGACGGACAAAGTGTAATATGACTCTCAGTTTCCTGAAGAAGACACAACACTGCAAGGTTAGCATAATCTTGAGGGTGAGCCAGAGTGGAGAGAAGAGTAGATGGGAGAGGTTTGGGGTTGGTCGGTTCAGTTTATCCTTTCCTGTAATTTGTGAAGCAGGGGTTGGACATTATGTACTAAATGTTTGTGTTCCCCCAAAATTCATATGTTGAAATCCTAACCCCAAATGTGGTAATATTAGGAGGTGGAGCCTTTGGGAGGTGATTGAGTTATCAGGGTGCAGCCTCCAAGAATGGGATTAGCGCCCTTATAAAAGGGACCACAGAGAGCTCTCGCACCCTTCTCACAGTGTGAGAATACAATGAAAAGTCAGTCCTCTGCAGCCCAGAAGAGGGTCCTCACCAGAACCTGGCCATGCTGGCAACCTCATCTCAGACTTCCAGCCTCCAGAACTGTCAGAAATAAATGTCTGTTGTTTTTAAGCAATAGTGATTTGTTATAGCAGTCTGAACGAATACAAGAAGTAACATTTAAATATTTTGTTGTAAGATTACAAAATGCAGGTTTTTCATAACAATAAAAACAATACAAAAATGCAGAAAGAAAAAATTCAACATCTCTCCACTCCCCTTTCTGTTACCTTCCCTGCAAGCCAGCAGAAGGCTCTGAATGCTTCCATGTCTTTCCCTTGCTCACATTTATCCATAATTGTCTTTGTACACTTAGACAGAGATTTATGTTTGCTTTTGCCAAAGCAGAAGCATCCCATTCCTACCACTCTTCAGTTTGCTTTTGTTGCTGGTTTGTCATGACCATCTTACTAGTCAGCACATGTAGCTCTAACTCTATGCTTTTCTTCCTGATCTCTTTAAGATACTTATAATTTTACACAATTGGTACATTTATGGATATTTTTGATGCAGTCTTTTCTTTCCTTGTACATACCCTTCTTTTCTCTCTTTCTCTACCACCCCATCAAGGTTTAACTTTTTATTGATGTATTTCATTGAATATAATTAATACAATACGTCACATGAATAACTTTTCTCTTTTTGATATGTGGAGAATGTATCACTTTTGATTTGGGATAAGATATAACTTTTAAGTGTTTAGGAGCCAAGGAAGAGAAGAGGATTAAGTAATGATCATATATTATTCTGGAGATCTTTATTGAATGTGGTAAGTTTTATTGGATCTTGTGTTTTATTCCTTCATAAGGCATTCTTCACAGGATGCTAAGCAAGATAAACTCTCAGTATACCTGTCAACCCCAAATTCCATGATTTATGATGTCAATAAGCTTTTTCATCGTATCAGGCTCACGCGTGAGACAGATTTACAATCGCCACTAGAGGGAGATCGCATCACAAACATGAGGATATTTTACGGCCGGATCTGTGTTTCTGATGTAAGTTTGATGCCGTACCAGTACAGTGTCCTGAACACAGATGAGGCTTAATAAACATCTGTCAAAAAAAATCCTGGTGGAATCTCAATGGTATTCCACCTTTCAAAGTCTGAAACAAGATTTTTTCAATTCAACCTAAAGATGGGATTATTAACTCAATGATATTTCATCCTTATGATGTAATGTTCTAAAGTTACTAGAAATCATGTATTTCTAGACATGGATGAGTCCCTCTACACCAGAATGAGGGGAATAGCATTCCTGCTCCTACCCTCAAAGGCAAGGATACATCTGTAATTTGCCTCCCAACATGGTACAGAAATGTTAAAGATGCTGGGTTGTGACTGGACCTGGCAACACAGGCTCTAAAAGCTATTTCTTGAAAAAATGATGCACCATCAGAAAAGTGATTTTTAGGCTTTTTTTTAAAAAAAAAAAAAAGTTGCAGGTACTTCTGTGAATTTAAAATAAGCCTTCTCCACTGAAAAATGCACATTGGAATACACAAACCTTTTTGTATTCTATTTCAAAGTTCTTACATATCCCTGCAGCCTAGTCATAAATAGGCACTAGAGCAACACATTCACAACCTTGGCTATACATTGAAGTCATCTGTAGAATCTAAAAATACTGATGACTGGGTCCCACCCAGTATATCATCAGGGACCATTAGAAAATCACATAGGCCGGGCGCGGTGGCTCACGCCTATAATCCCAGCACTTTGGGAGGCCTAGGCGGGTGGATCACGAGGTCAAGAGATCAAGACCATGCCGGTCAACATAGTGAAACCCCGTCTCTACTAAAAACACACACACACAAAAAAAAAAATGAGCTGGGCATGGTGGCGCACACCTGTAGTCCCAGCTACTCAGGAGGCTGAGGCAGGAGAATGGTTTGAACCCAGGAGACGGAGGTTGCGGTGAGCCGAGATCGCGCCATTGCACTACAACCTGGGTAAGAAGAGCGAAACTCCGTCTCAAAAGAAAAAAAAAATCACATAATATTTTATGGGATGGCAAGAATCAGAGTTTTCAAGGACGAGAATCTCAGTAACTCCAGTGAGAGGCTGTCTCCACCAGATAGAATATCTACTACATTCTCCAAACTCACATTTTCCCTTGGCATCAAGCAGACTAAGAAAGTGCTGTTGAGTTGTGCCTCAGAAGCTGAGTGATACTAGCCCCTGAGAGTGGAAAACATCACGAGGTCAAGAGATCGAGACCATCCTGGTCAACATAGTGAAATAATTAGCCATATTATCAAGTATGTGAAGAATTTTTGAGATGCCACTTGTCTTTACAGAGGACGAAGTACACATATGTCATCTTGAAGTTCTTTCAAAAATCAGGAATAACATCTTGACTTTCAACTGGAAGTTAGGCACATAGGCCATTTTTAATAACACAGGAGTAACGAGGGCAAGTGGCTAGCCTAGTGCCTTTCACTCAGAAGAGAGCTTGTGCAAACATTTGCTGAATATATGTGGAGAGAAGTTGGCAAGAATATACATGGTGAATGAAAAAGCTGGTGAGACAGCGAGACACTAGGGAAACTGAGTGTATTAAAAGAACTTAAAGAGAACCACAATGTAGAATATATGAGTGGGAAGATGACCACATGTTCTCCCACACTGAAAAGTGACTTCCAGGAAGCTAGAAGCCTGTCTCCTTTCTTCTCCATGAGAAAGCCCAGCGCCCATCCTGATGCCTGGAACGCCATGGACACACTACAAATATTGGTCAGCTCTATGAGCCAAAAGTTATCCAGTGGCCTTTCCTGCATCTTATTCTTTTGACAGGAGACAACATATTTTTAAATATTTAGAACTTGAAATATTTCAAATATACAGAAAATAGGATAACATACACCCACTTACTCTTTACCCAAATTTGACCAGGCTAACATTGCCTTTTCTACATTTTTGAGTCTAATAGTAAGTGCCATTTCATGTCAAACAACCCCCAAAACATTAATAATAAACACGTCTTTGTGCTGACAGTGTCATTATTCAAATTGAAGGTGAAGTAAAGAAATCGCTCTGAAAAATTTCCATGGCAGATGGGGAGATGAGCAAAATGAAACAATGGAAACAGTGGCCCAAATATGTTGTGTGTGTGTGTGTGTGTGTGTGTGTGTGTGTGTGTGTGTGTGCGCGCGCGCACACGCGCGCGCATATCTATAGATATGTTCTATTTAAATCAGTTTAAAGGAAGTAAAATGGCAGTTTGAGTGTGTTTACTTCGTGGCTAGACTAATATCTACTGTTCTTTCATATGGGAAATGGAGGAGGGGTGGGCATGTGCTTCCAGGCAAATACTTTTTTTTTTCTTTTAATAGAGATGAGGTTTCACTCACCATGTTGGCCAGGCTGTTCTCCAACTCCTGACCTCAGGTGATCCACTCGCCTTGGCCTCCCAAAGTGCTGGGATTACAGGTGTGAGCCACCACACCCAGCCCAGGCAAAGAATTTTTAAATGCCACAGTCAGTCCCCTCAGTCTGTTTTTGTTTTGTTTTGTTTTTGTTTTTGTTTTTGAGACAGAGTTTTGCTCTTGTTGCCCAGGCTGGAGTGCAATGGCGTGATCTTGGCTTACCACAACTTCCACCTCCCATGTTCAAGCAATCCTCCTGCCTCAGTCTCCTAAGTAGCTAGGCTTACAGGCATGCACCACCAAGTCTGGCTAATTTTGTATTTTTAGTAGAGACAGGGTTTCTCCACGTTGGTCAGGCTGGTCTCGAACTCCTGAACTTAGGTGATCCACCTGCCTGGACCTTCCAAAGTGCTGGGATTACAGGCGTGAGCCACTGCATCTGGCCAGTCTGGTTTTTTATTTAGCTGCCTGCCTACACCCCCTTCCTAGCCTCCTTTTTTCACCCCCTAGAGACTCTGTAACAATTACAGAGGCACTCACTGTAAGCTCTACACTGACCCAGAAAGGTCACCAGGTAAAATGAGGACCCCCAAACTGCAGCAAATACAAGGACTGAGCCTTTCAGCATCTCAGCTTCCAAGGGCCTTGGACTGAGAGGACATGATTAAGAAGTAATACCCTGGCTGGGCACAGTGGCTCACGCCTATAAGGCTGGTGACTCACTTGAGGTCAGGAATTTGAGACCTGCCTGGCTAACATGGTGAAACCCCATCTCTACTAAAAGAAAAAAATAGCTGCGCATGGTGGCGTGTGCCTGTAATCCCAGCTACTCGGGAGGTTGAGGCAGCAGAATCACTTGAACCTGGGAAGCAGAGGTTTTAGTCAGCCAAAATCATGCCACTGCACTCCAGCCTGGGTGACAGAGCCAGAGTCTGTCTCAAAAAAAATACTACTGCTACTAATAATACCCTCTTGCAAACTGAAAGCTGACTGACCTGCTTCTAAATTTCTAATCCCATCCTGAAAATGCAGCAAAAAGTTCATTAGAAAAAGTGAAAGAGGTGAGTATAACATGAAAACAGAGCCCAGGAGTCAGAAATCATTACTAGAAATCAGTCGCTGGGGATTTTCTGATTCAATTTCCCATGTGAGTCCTTACGGTGCTCTTTCACTTCTGCCCATTCTGTCTTCCCCAAGTAATTCTTCCTCCTGAAAGTCATTTTAGAGCCACTTGCTTACATTTGGAGCTGTTACATTGTCACTGAAACAAATGAGCATAATGGTTCCAAAACCATTATAGGCCATAAGAGTTCCTGGAAAGGTGAGAATAAATTTCATTAAAAGAACAGACTGCCTATAATCCCAGCACTTTGGAAGGCCCAGGCGGGTGGATCCCTGAGGGTGCTGAATGCCTGTAATCCCAGCTACTCTGGAGGCTGAGGAAGAAGAATCGCTTGAACTCCCAGGAGGTAGAGGTTGCAGTGAGCCAAGATGGTGCCACTGCACTCCAGCCTGATGACAGAGTGAGACTGTGTCTTAAAAAAAAAGAACAGACTGTCTAAGTTGTATGTGGCTATTTCTATGAACTTCATATTTGCTTCTTGGTTAAAGTTTCCATTTTTGAAGCTGTGCTTTAGAAAGGAAGAAAGATAGCATCTGCCTACAGATGGAGTCAAGAAAATAATGCAGAAAACTAATGCTGAGTTGAAATTAATGGTAATGATATTAAGCAATGTGGATTTATAGTCATTCACAATGACACATGTTTCTGATTTAAGTTCATTAAGACCATTTTGTTTCTCTTCTGCTACCACATGCGACCTCTTAAAAAGAAAAAGAAAATAGGTAGACTCTTTTGGAGGGATTCCAGATTTTGGTATTTGAATGTCAACACATAAGAAAAGTGCTGAATGCATGCTTTCACATGGCAATTGCATTTGTCAGCTGTTGTACTTACTACAGTTATTCAGACTGCTGTTCGGGTCACAGAGAGAGCTACCACCACATGAATCAAAGCAGGGATTGTAGAGGCATCTTTGGTCTCCTTCTTGACATGAAGTCTGACCTACAGAAGGAGGAAAAGGCGCATTGGCTTTTATCATCTGTAAATTCCTTACCCAAGGATCCAGAGGATCAGGAATGTCTGGTGGAGCTGAGGAATAACGCAACTTTAATTTCTTTCCAATTTCTCCAGCAGTATTGAATATATATTGAATAGGTGCTTTCTGGATTCGTTTTCCTGGCAACTAAATACAATCCAGGTATTCCAAAATAGGAATGAAGAAATAAGAGACAAACGACACTAAAAACAGGTGGTTGTGCATTTAATGGGAAAAAAATAGTGCTTTCTTTTTACATAGGTGCCAATACTTGATTACAAAATAAAATTCAAGAGATTTGAGAGAGAACATTATAAAATCTTGAAATTCTGAATATTAAGCGACTTTTTTTAAAGACTCATTTGCTCCCAATTCTAGTCTCCCTCTAAAAATAATTTCTCTAGTAATAAATAGGGCATCAACACCAATACGATAAGGATACTTTATCATAATACAAGTGTAACATAATGCAGTTTTTATCCATATTTTCAATATGTCTTGGAGAGTGTCATCAGCCTAGCTGTGATGACTTGAGAACTGGGTTTCTGGTTTCTAAGTGAGTGACAGCAGCAATATCAGTGTTTGCCCTAATGGTTTTTCCTTAAGGTATGTAGAGAGGAAACTGCTTTTCCCGTTGATTTCCTGGTCATTTGTAGATTAAATGGATAGGGTAATAAATACTGCCTGTTCTAGCACTCCCCATTATGATCAATTACCTTCAGGCATGTCATCTGGAATCTAGACAACCTTGCAAGGCACTTTTAAGTATGAATAATAGTACGTGTGTATATATAATCACTCATCTATAATTCTAAGACAATGTTTATTATACTGGAATATTTATCCTTTCTAGTACCACTAACATGGAAATTAATATACCACAGCCTTGCAGAAAAGAGCTGTCTCTCTTTTTTTGTTTTTTAATGTCAGCAGGGTCAAAATTTTTTCTCAAAGAAAACCTAAACAATTTTGGTGAGTTTAGGCTCTTGAGGAGATTTTATTGACATCAGGCATTCATTATTTTGGCAAATATTAAGTGTCTCCCATGTGACAATCTATGTGACAAGTTAGGCACTGAACATTAAAAGATAAAAAGGCATGATACCCCCTGGGAAGTGGTTTGCACTCTGATAGAGGTATCAACCTGAACAAAACCTTCTGATGCTGTGTGATCATTGCTTTATGGATAAAAATATTTATTTTTATTTATTTTTTTCATCGAGATGCGGGTCTCACTATATTGTCCAGGTTGGTCTCAAACTCCTGGTCTCAAGTAATTCTCCTGCCTTGGCCACCCAAAGTGCTGAGATTACAGGCATGTGCTACTGTGCCCAGCTAAAACACAGTTAAAGAGCAATAGAAGCCAACGAGACCAGTATGGGGAAGTTTCTCAAAGGACTTTTCAACATCATGGTAAGAGGAAAGAGTGGGTTTTCCAAGCCGAGAAGCAGCACATGCAAAGGCCTGGAATAGGGAGGTGCACAGGTCAAGTCACTGGAGCTTCAGCCACTCAGAAAGAGGGTCAGAGAGACTAGACAGGTAGGCAGGGGCAGAGTCTGAAGAGTTTCAAAGGCCTAACTCTTCAGCAAGACCCTATGTCTCAGAAGAAGCAGGTCCCACTTTCCTTCCCAGCCCTGTCTAGCAGAATAAGCCTGCAGCCCATCCTGACAATTACACAGTGTTGAGTACCAGGCTCCCCTTTGTTCTCAGCTCTGTAATCACAATGGTCTGCCTTCTCTCATGGTCCTCCCATACACGCTTGCACCTTCCCACCTCGGAATTTTGCTCAAGCGGTGCCTTGTGTCTCAATTGCCTCTTCAAGTCCTACTCTTCTCAGTTAACCCCACTCATCCATCAGGCCTAAGCTCCAGGATCTCTTCCTCAGGGAAGCTTTGTTCCGAGGCCCTTTACCAGGGCATACACACTATTAATGGCATCCAAGCACCCTGAATTTCCCTTCTTAGTCTCTCTTGCTGTCTGATTAGACACTGATTTGCATAATAATTCGTAGCACGCCTATGTCCCCCAAGAGTCTGTAAGCTCCATCAGCTGTTTTGCTTGCTACTGAATTCCCAGGGGATGGCCACATATAAACACCACAATATGCATTTTTTAAGTTGAATTCGTAAGAGTGAACAATATAAAGATACTACAATTTTACATTTAAATCTGTTTTAACATATTACTTTCTTACATCTCACACATGTAAGGAAATATTCTACAAAACCTGCCATTTCATCATAAAAAATGCAAAATTATTTCAGAGTTGAATTATCTAGAAAGAAGAGTTTAATAAAGGATTTCCTTCTGAATTTAAAAACTAGTAAAACAAAGCACTCTTTATATATAATTTTTATGTAATAAGTCTATGATTGAAAAGCTCTCCCTTTAGGTCTTGGGTACTTTTCCATTAAAGTTATTCTAATGATCAATATGTATTACAACAAAACGAATGTATCTATAGGTGACAGTCTCATTGGCTGATTATGAATATACACAGCCCAAGCTATACTTTAATGTAATAGTCATGTAATAAAAGCTCACATATATTGAGTTTTCACTATGTGCCAACACTATGAGGTAGTTATCACTATTCTTAGTGGACAGAAACACAAACTGCGACCTAAAAGGGGTGTAAGTATCTTGCCAAAAGTCACCATATAGTATGTAGCAGACCGAGGCTTGATCCCAGGTATCAGAGCTGCAACAACCAGGTTCTTAACAACTAGGCTGTGCCTGTGCAGTATAAACTAATGGGATTTTTTTAGTCCACGGATATCCTCACCCAGCCCCTACTGTGAGGCTTCCACAAACACTGGAGCTTAAAACAATCTGCGTAGAACTTTCTTTTCTGACAGAAATGGTTACATTTAAAAAACAATTTATTGGCTCTTTTTGAGAGTCACACACAGATATTAAATCCTTTTAAAGTGTATTGCTTGGTAATAAGAGGCACTAAACTGCTTCTCTGCACATGATTATTTTAAGAAGTCATTACATTTCCTTTCAGAAACCAATTTCTTCTCACTGGAATCTAATCTAATTTAACTGGATGCTATACACTAAACTTCTCTCTTTATCTCGGCTTTCCCCATCAAACAGTTAAGTGAATCTGACTGTGCTGTTCAGGTGTCTCATCTGCCCCCTTCACCCTGAGGAATGATTTTCAGTGTAAGTTGCTTGATAATTATGTTTAGCACAAGAAAGTGTTTCCTGGCTGATGAGGGCTGTGAGGCTCTCTGCATTGGCAATCTGGGATTATCTATATGGGAATCCTACTTAAGCAGCTTCAAATGTTTTACTTTGTTCCCAAGGAGAGGACCAGCAGTAAAGGCATGTTCTGGGGTGGGGGGACACACTTACTGCCGCTGCAGTTCTCCTCATCACTCCCATCCTTGCAGTCCTCGTCGCCATCACATTGAAACGTGCTGGGGATGCACTGTCCATTTCTGCATTCCACCAGACCCTGGCTATGACAGGCTAGGAAGGGCCAGAATGATATTCACTTTATTTATTAATTCTTCTCTCAGTCTGCACATCAAATAAACAATAGCCATTTATCAGGCATCACTAAGAAACAGGGTGTTCTGCATACACAAATGAACATATCATTGATTTCATTTCTAGAATTTTTCCCACCTCATTAAAAAACACTTACCAAAAATTAACTTTTTCTTGAGAACTGCATGATTGTTTTTAGTGATGGAAGTATCATGCTCCTACTTACTAATAAAAATGGCAATCTGTAAAGGGTTCTTTTTTGGCAAGAGCTGTGCTAACTGCATTGTATATAATATAATCTCAAATTATCACATAAACCTTGTAAAGTAGATACTATCATCCTTGTTTTAGAGCTGAAAAACTAAAGTTTAGAGAGTATACTGCTTGTCTCAAAGTCCCATGGCTAAGAGCTCAGCCAGAATGTGAGGGCAAGCTTTTTGGACTCCAAGCCCAAATATTTCATGATTTATCTACTTGACCTCAAAAGCCAACAAAATGATGTATGGGAAAGAACTCGCAGAGTAACTAACACATAATAAACACTTTAACACTTGTTTATGACAACTGATATTTGAAAGGAATGACCTAATGTCCATTAACCTTCCAATTTCTATCAGTTCTCTAAATTCTATACCTATTGTCTTTTTTGGGGGGGTGGGAGGAGCAGAGTCTTAATCTGTTTCCCAGGCTGGAGTGTAGTGGCACAATCTCTGCTCACTGCAGCCTCAGCCTCCCAGGTTCAAGCGATTCTCCTGCTTCAGCCTCCCAAGTAGCTGGAACTGTAGGCACCACACCCAACTAATTTTTGTATTTTTAGTAGAGACAGGGTTTCACCATGTTGCCCAGGCTGGTCTCAAACTCCTGACCTCGTGATCCACCCATCTCAGCCTCCCAAAGTGCTCAGATTACAGGTGTGAGCCACCACACCTGGCCTATCATGCACTCTCTGTGTCACTGTCTGAACATTAAAGGCTCTCTTCTTGCTGATGATTCTTTCCATGTTCTTCCACAAATGGCCCCTGAGAACATGTTAGGGCACTCCTACAGGGAACTTAACTACTCATATATTGTGTGCAGAAGGAAGGTTTCTCAGTCTGTGGGAAGAGCATCACCTTTGACAAAGTCATAGAAGCATAAAAGAGACATATGGAACAATGAGAGAGAAAACAGACGCCGACTTGGCCAGATCAGCCAAATGATGCTTGGAGTTTTGGGAGGAAAGGTGTGGAAGTCACATGCAGTCCATTGCTATTGTCATCCCGCCACTCAAAGATCTTTACAGGCTAGAACCAAAGTATCAGAATCTTTCCCTTGGAATGCTGTGTATATAGTGAGTCTTAAGTATAGAAGTTAACATTGAGCACAGCCCAAACAAGCAGAAATGGAAAAATAAGCAAAACAAACATCCTCAGAGCACTCACAGCAGTTGACCTCGTCGGACTTATCCACACAGTCGTGGTCACCATCACACACCCATTCCATGGTGATGCAGCGCCCATCCCCGCAGCGATGCTCTGTTGCGGGACTGCAATCTGGAGAAATGAAAACCATGAGGATGCAGAGAACCAGTGTGACAAACAGGCAGGATTGTATGGCTCCCGGTTCCTGTTGAAGAGAGTCTGTTCCAATGGTTCCAATACCTTTAATAACATTTCTACAATAGGTCTGGCCCAATTAAAATGCCATGCCCTCTCCACACATGTGCCCCACTGACCACCATCACGGTGAGGTAAGATGCGTCTGTTTTTCAGATAAGTAACACTACCCTAGTTGTCTCAGGACCCATGGTTTGTTCTTTGTTTTGAGATGGAGTCTCCCCCTGTTGCCAGGCTGGAGTGCAGCGGCACAATCTCAGCTCACTGTAACCTCCACCTCCTGGTTCAAGCAGTTCTCCTGCCTCAGCTTCCCAAGTAGCTGGGACTACAGGTGTGTGCCACCATGCCCAGCTAATTTTATTTTATTTTTTTCAGTAGAGACAGAGTTTCATCATGTTGGCTAGGATGGTAGAATGGTCTTGAACTCCTGACCTCAGGTGATTGCCTATGTCGGCCTCCCAAAGTGCTGAAATTACAGGAGTGAGCCACTACACCTGGCCAATTTGTTCTTATTGTTGTTGCCTTTTGTTTTCTTTCGTTGTCATTTTCTTTCCTTATGAAAAATTTATGGTTTCTACCCTGGTAAGAAAAACAGAACTGTGATTTGTGTTTCACGAAGCTAGCGGATTTGATGTTATCTGTAACAGTTCTCTCACATTTCTGGGAATTATAACTTACCTGTCTGGCAAACTGGGAAAGCAAGTATCTCCTTGTCATCTCTCCTGATGCTAAGCTTAAGTTTTAATTAAATTATCTTTTTTTTTTTTTTTTTTTTTTTTTTTTCATTTATCTTCTTAATCACATCGCCAAAATTTTTCAGGTTGAATAGATTCTTTTTTTTTTTTTTTTTTTTTTTCGGAGACAGGGTCTCTCTCTGTTTCCCAGGCTGGAGTGCAGTGTTGTGATCATAGCTCACACAGCTCACTGCAGCCTTAACCTTCTAGGATGAGGTGATCCTCCCACCTCAGCCTCTCAAGTAGTTGAGACTACAAGGACATGCCAGCATGCCCGGACTTATATCCAAAAGAGCCACTGGGTAAGCAATGGGAAATATGTATGTTATTTTCATTATTCTTTTTAGCCTGGACTTCATGTCCCAATTTATATATCACTGAAAAAGAACTGAGCGGTAAGTTCCCTCTCACAAAGGGCAGAATCCACAGGGTGCTTTGCCATGAGAAGTGGTAAACCCTGAATATAAGCAGCGTTTTGGAAGATGTATGTGATTTCATGAATAACAGATTCGATGAGAAGGTGTAATGAGTCTAGTAATAGTACCATGGTCGTAGACAGACTTCTGGAGTGACCGCGGATCTGAAAGGGTGTTTTGGGTCAATAAAGCAAAGTATGAGGAGGACATGGGTTAGAGAAAAGAAGAAAAGCAAAAGAGGTGTTTAGCAGGAACCAGAGGAGCACAGCGGGCCAGGGCAGAGGCTGGTCTGAAGGAAATTGGTAATTATTGCTGTTAGATGGAGACAACTGGCATCCAGACACACAAACTTCACAACAGCCTGCTGTCTTCAGAGGAATTATGTCACCCGTTAAGACCATTCTTCCTCACATGCTACCTACACTCTGGCCCTCTCTACTAACCTATCCAACTACCAACCTACACTCACTCCTTTTCAATTCCCTGCATTTTCCTAGTTATCTCATTGGTAAAGAGAAGGGTTGAATCTGATGATCTCTACGGCCTCCTGCAACTATCATTTCTGTGATGTATATAATTACAATTTCCCCTCGTCCTTTGTCTCAAGACTAGTCAGTCCCAGGAGATAACCCACATCTGAATGTAGATTAGTACAGCCATTATGGAAAATAGTATGGAGGTTCTTGAGAAAACTACAAACAGAACTTCCATATAACCCAGTAATCCCACTTCTGGATATGTATCCAAGGGAAAGAAAATCAGTATAATCAAACAGACACCGGCACCCCCAAGTTCACTGCAGCACTGCTCACAATAATGATGATATGGAATCAATTTGTGCCAATCAAAAAAGAAAATATGGTACGTCTACACAATGGAATACTATTCAGCCATGCCAAAAGAATGAAATACAGTTATTCGTAGCAACATGGATGAGCCTGGAGGACATTATGTAAAGTGAAATAAGCCAGGCATAGAAACACAAATACCACAGGCCCTTACTCATATGCAGAGTTGATCTCATAGAAGCAGAGAGTAGAACAGTAGTTACTGGAGGCCAGAAGGGTATGGAGGAGGAGGGATAAAGAGAGATTGCTTAACTGATACAAAATTACAGCTAGATAGGAGGAACAAACTGTAGGCTTTTATAGCACTGGATGGTGATTATAGTTAATGACAATTTTTTGTATATTTTCAAATAACTAAATGAGAAGATTTTGAATGTTCCTAATACAAAGAAATGATAAATGTTTGAGGTGATGGATATGCTAATTACGTGGATTTGATCATTATATATATTATACACGTATTAGAATATCATGCTGTATTCATTAAATGTGTACAACTACTATGAGTCAGTCAAAAATAAAATAAAAATAAACTGTTACCAGAAAAAAACAATAACCACATCTATGTAGTCACACAGGAATGGTCTGTACATACACATTTAAAAATATTTTTACAGATACAGCAAGTGGCAGCTAGACGGTGCTCCTAGAAGCCACCAGGTTTCCCAGCATGGAGCTATTCCCAACATTCATGATTCCAACGCATTCCTCTGATGATACCCCTGATCTTTTTGAAACATTTATTTTGATATTATCTAATGCTGGACATTGTCTCATATCATTTGTCCAGGGCATATCCTCATCCCAGTTTGCCCTTTTGTTCATGTTGCAAAGTTCCTACATCACTCAAAAATATACTGCCTAAAAATTCTGAAGCTAGTCACAAAGCCAAAAAAGTAAATGAGCAACAGAAATTTTGCTGATTTTAATTCATGAGATGGCATTCAGAATTGAACATGACTCTTTAAAAATTAGGTTTATTCATTAAAAGATAAGCTCAGCATTTGTACACAAAACAAAGGTGTCATCCTAACCCTGGGTGTAGCTGCTACAAAGGTGTTCCTTGTACTATTTGGGGATTAGATAAAAGGGGGGACTTTGGTCACATGTAATAAGGGAACCAGGTACAGACAATATATCTGCCCTCAAAGTTTGCTTAAGGGCCCAAAATCTAACATAAGCCACTGGCTCTAACCAGAGGAGAAACAGAACACATTAGAGGAGAGGAAAAAAACTATTAAAGCATTAACAACCTTTACCAGTCTTCCCATCCTATTTCTTAAACATTTTCTTAATACAGTTATTTATCTATTATATTTACACATAAGACATTACTGAGGACAGTGAATGAGCAAACTTCCTCCTTCTAAAAAACCAGAAAGCAATCATTTTGTAATCTAAACTGCTAATTGTATTAACATATAGTGAACTACAAATTCTTGGTTATAAATTTCTGTGATTTTTAATTAAAACCTTTGGGGAAACAATACTACTTACCACAGTTTTGCTCATCACTCAAATCCCCACAGTCATCATATCCATCACATACAAGGCTGTAATTAAGGCACTTGCCTGTGTGACAGTGAAACAGATTCTCACTGCAGTCTGTAAATAAAAGAAGCCACCAATGTGTCATCAGAGCTGTACAGAATGCTATTGTAGTACAATATTTAACAAAAGCCAATCATGGAAGAGATACCTAATGGTAACCTGGTCCACACCTATTGTTTTATAGGTGAGGAGAAGGTGGCACAAAGAGATACTATGACTTGTTCAAGGCCACTTAACAAGTGCTGCAGAACCAGGAATAGGACCCTCTGGCTCCCAAGCCAAGTGATTTTATCACTTTCTGATGTGTTTCTCTGACTTCCATTTTATGTCACCTGAAAGATCCTTGATTGTCAAAGATGAGAAAAGACATTCTCAATTCACCATCATTCCTAATGAAGTTCCTGTTCATGCAGAATAGACTTCAGTGACTCTTACGTTTTATTTAGAGTTGAAAGTCCAGGTTTGCCAGTGGTAAATATAAACATAACAAATAAAATAAATCATTTAGATTATAGAGTTGTTATTTCCTTTCACATAAACATTACTGCTAAAGCCAATTGAATGTTTCATAATGTGATCCTCAAATAAGCAAGTACTCTCCAAAGACTACAATGGAAAAATGAGAAGTGGTATGTAATCTCAGGACGCTCATAGTTTAATGTTGAAATACGCAATATTCAGAGGAAATGCTTTTCTGATTTTATAAGAAAATAAAGTCTTGTCCTTGGGTAAACCAGAACTCCTGTCCAGGTTCTTCCATCTACTAGCTGTGGGACTTTTAGTGTGTTATTGGTAATTCAAGTGTAGGAGTCTATGAACTGAACTATGAAATTGGAACAAAATCAACCACTTACTAGGGTTTGAAAGAAGAGTTTAATAAAATAGTGTGTGTAAGACAATTCAATGGAAATAGAATGCTCTTTTCAACAAATGGTATTGGGACAATGAAGGAGATAAGTCAGCGTTGTGGAAAAATTAGAAAGAGGCAAATCTTCTTGGAAGGCTGGAAGGTTTTGCAAAAGCCTTGGGAGGAAGTTAGGGCCTAATCTTCTTACCATGAGCTAACAGCAGAGAACAGATAAAAAGGGAAGGTAGGAGTGTTTATCTAAATAGCTTGTTTACTCATGTGGTCCTAAGAATAATCCTTGATCTTTGATAGGCGCATAACTGCTCACTACTCAGGGGGTCAGCAATGTGGTTTTTTTTTTTTTTTTAATTGTTTTGTTTTTACAAAAAATACTTAATTTTTATTTTTAATATATATTTTGTTGCACTTTAGGTTCTGGGGTACATGTGCAAAACATGCAGGATTATTGCATAGGTACACACATGGCAATGTGGTTTGCTGCCTCCATCCTCCCATCACCTATACCTGGCATTTCTCCCCGTTATCCCTCCCCGACCTCCTTACCCCATGCTGTCCCTCCCTTATTCCCCAACAACAGACCCCAGTTTGTGGTGGTCCCCTCCCTGTGTCCATGTGTTCTCATTGTTCAACACCCATCTATGAGTGACAACATGTGGTGTTTGTTTTTCTGTTCTTGAGTGAGTTTGCTGAGAATGATGGTTTCCAGATTCATCCATGTACCTACAAAGGACAGAAACTCATGATTTTTTATGGCTGCATAGTATTCTGTGGTGTATATGTTCCACATTTTCCTTGTCCAGACTATCATCAGTGGATATTTGGGTTGGTTCTGCGTCTTTGCTATTGTAAACATTGCCACAATGAACATACATATGCATGTGTCTTTATAATAGAAAGATTTATAATCCTCTGGGTATATATCCAGTAATGGGATTGCTGGGTCAAATGGAATTTCTATTTCTAGGTCCTTGAGGAATCACCACACTGTCTTCCACAATGGTTGAACTAGTTTACACCCCCACCAACCATGTAAAAGTGTTCCTATTTTTCCACATCCTCTCCAGCATCTGTTGTCTCCAGAATTTTTAATGATTGCTATTCTAACTGGCATGAGATGGTATCTCAATGTGGTTTTGATTTGCATTTCTCTAATGACCAGTGATGATGAGAATTTTTTCACATGTTTGTTGTCCTCATTTATGTCTTCTTTTGAAAAGTGTCTGTTCATATCCTTTGCCCACTTTTGAATGAGTTTGTTTGTTTTTTTCTTGTAAATCTGTTTTAGTTCTTTGTAGATTCTGGATATGAGCCCTTTGTCCGATGGGTAGATTGCAAAAATTTTTTCCCATTCTGTTGGTTGCTAGTTCACTCTAATGATTGTGTCTTTTGCTGTACAGAAGCTCTGGAGTTTAATTGGATCACATTTGTCTATTTTGGCTTTTGTTGCCAATGCTTTTGGTGTTTTAGTCATGAAGTCCTTGCCTATGCCTATGTCCTTAATGGTTTTGCCTAGGTTTTCTTCTAGGGTTTTTATGGTGTTAAGCCTTATGTTTAAGTCTTTAATCCATCTGGAGTTAATTTTAGTGTAAGGTGTCAGGAAGGGGTCCCGTTTCTGCTTTCTGCACATGGCTAGCCAGTTTTCCCAATACCACTTATTAAACAGGGAATTCTTTCTCCATTGCTTGTTTTTGTCATGTTTGACAAAGATCAGATGGTTTTAGATGCATGGCATTGCCTCCGAGGCCTCTGTTCTGTTCCATTGTTCAATATCTCTGTTTTGGTACCAGTACTATGCCATTTTTATTATAGCTTTATAGCATAGTTTGAAGTCAGGTAGCATGATGCCTCCAGCTTTGTTCTTTTTGCTTACGATTGTCTTGGCTATGGGGGCTCTCTTTTGGTCCCATATGAAGTTTAAGGTGGTGTTTTCCAGTTCTCTGAATAGAGTCCTAGGTAGTTTGATGGTGATAGCATTGTATCTATATATTACTCTGGGCAGTATGGCCATTTTCATGATATCGATTCTTCCCAACCATGAGCATGGAATGTTTTCCATCTGTTTGTGTTCTCTCTGATTTCCTTGAGCAGTGGTTTGTAGTTCTCCTTGAAGAGGTTCTTTACATCGTTTGGTAGTTGTATTCCTAGGTATTTTATTCTCTTTGTAGCAACTCTGGGAGTTTGCTCATGATTTGGCCCTCTGTTAGTCTGTTATTGGTGTATAGGAATGCTTGTGATTTCTGCACATTGATTTTGTACCCTGAGACTTTGCTGAAGTTGCTTATCAGTTTCAGGAGATTTGGGGCTGAGACAATGGGGTCTTCTAAATATACAATCATGTCGTCTACAAACAGAGAAAGTTTGACTTCCTCCTTTCCTAATTGAATACACTTTATTTCTTTTTCTTGCCTGATTGCTCTGGCTAGAACTTCCAATACTATATTGAATAGGAGTGGTGGGGGAGGGCATCCTTGTCTAGTGCTAAATTTCAAAGGGAATGCTTCCAGTTTTGGGCCATTTAGTATGATATTGACTTTGGGTTTTTCATAAATAGCTTTTATTATTTTCAGATACATGTCATCGATATCTAGTATACTGAGAGTTTCTAGAATAAAGGGCTGTTGAGTTTTGTTGAAGGCCTTCTCTGCATCTATTGAGATAATCATGTGGTTTTTGTCTTTGATTCTGTTTATGTGGTGGATTACATTTATAGACTTGAGTATGTTGAACCAGCCTTGTGTCCCCAGGATGAATCCTACTTGATCATGATGGATAAGCTTTGTGATGTGCTGTTGCAATTGGTTTGCCAGTATTTTATTGATGATTTTTGCAGCTATGTTCATCATGGATATTGGCCTGAAGTCTTCTTTTTTTATTGAGTCTCTGTCGGGTTTTGGATGGTATTGGTGTCATAAAATGATTCGATAAGGATACTCTCTTTTTGTTTTGTTTGGAATAGCTTCAGAAGGAGTGTTACCAACTCCTCTTTGATATCTCATAGAATTTGGCTGTGAACCCATCTGGACCTGGGCTTTTTTTGGTTGGTAGGCTATTAATTGCTGCCTTGACTTCAGCCCTTGTTATTGGACTATTCAGGATTTCAACTTCTTCCTGGTTTAGGCATGGGAGGGTGCATGTGTCCAGGAATTTATCCATTTCTTTCAGGTTTACTGGTTTATGTGCATAGAGTTGTTTGTAGTAATCTCTGATGGTAGTTTGTATTTCTGTGGGATCGGTGGTTATAACCCCTTCATCATTTTTATTGCATCTATTTGATTCTTCTCTCTTTTCTTTTTTATTAATCTGGCTAGTGGTCTGTCTATTTTGTTGATCTTTTCAAAAAACCAGCTGCTGGATTTACTGATTTTTTGAAAGTATTTTTGTCTCTCTATCTCCTTCAGTTCTGCTCTGATCTTAGTTATTTCTTGTCTTCTGCTAGCTTTTGAGGTTTTTTTATCTTGCTCCTCTAGCCTTTTTGATTTTAATGATAGGGTGTCGATTTTAGATCTTTCCTTGCTTCTCATGTGGGCATTTATTGCTATAAATTTCCCTCTAGACACTGCTTTAAATGTGTCCCAGAGTTTCTGGTACATTGTGTTTTCATTCTTGTTGGTTTCAAAGAACATCTTTATTTCTGCCTTCATTTCATTGTTTATCCAGTCAACATTCATGAGCCAGTTGTTCAGTTTCCATGAAGTTGTGTGGTTCTGAGTTAGTTTCTTGATCCTGAGTTCTAATTTGATTGCACTGTGGTCTGAGAGACTGTTTGTTATGATTTCTGTACTTTTGCATTTGCTAAGTAGTGACTTACTTCCCATTATGTGGTCAGTTTTAGAGTAGGTGTGATGTGGTGCTGAGAAGAATGTATTGGATTCTTCTTCAATGCTGTGGATTTGGGGTGGAGAATTCTGTACATGTCTATTAGGTTTGCGTGGTCTGGATATGAGTTCAAGTCCTGGATATCCTTGTTAATTTTCTGTCTCATTGATTGTCTAATATTGACAATGGGGTGTTAAAGCCTCCCACTATTATTGTCTATTATTGTGTGGGAGTCTACGTCTCTTTGTAGGTCATTAAGAACTTGCTTTATGTATCTGGGTGTTCCCATATTGGGTGCATATATACTTAGGATCATCAGCTCTTCTTGTTACATTGACCCTTTTACCATTATGTAATGCCCTTCTTTGTC